CCACCCCGCCCTCCCAAGGCACCATCTACCCACCTACCTAGCACATCTCAACCCCCACCCAAATCAAAAACTCCCAAATTCCCAAAATTCCCAGATAAACAACACCTACCACCCACCACCCACCTCCACTCCCCCATCTCATTTCCTCATTTCCTCACCTCCTCAATCCACTCCTCGCCTCACCCATCTCACCCATCACTCCGCCCTTCCACAGTGCTACAAACCCCAATAAAAGCATTCCAGTACAGTATCAATTTCCCAACTCACAATTCACAAGCAAAAAAAGGATAGAGATAACCCAGTCCACAACTCCAACACACCCAGACAGAACTACACAAATCACAATCCATCCAGACCCTTAGCTTTACTATAATAAACAATAAACAATTAATAAATACCCCTTTCTCAAGTCTGGTGCTGTCAGATCATAACGTCATCAGGTATTATCTTTTTTTCTTCCTAACATACAAGGTTGACGCAAAGTAACGTCACCAGAGTAGACCGCTCATGAAAGAAATTCGACGAATTGAACCCCCATCATAAACACTCATCAACCCAAAAGAAGGATGGAAAAAGTATAAGAACCTATCCCTCTATATACTGATTGTAGGCATCGATGACTTGTTCTAGAGCAAATCAAGAGCTAAAGATTACCTGCAGATCATTTCACATATCAAAATACCATAGTCTACACAACAGAGTAAAAGATTTTGATTTCCTTGATGGAATAAAAGAAAGACACAAGATCATAATTCAAAAAGGGGGGACCTTGCTCTAATTCTCAATTCTCAATTCGATTTCGCTACTAACTCAGTCCCATTTTCCATTCATTTCGGACCGTCATTTTGTTTCCATTTTCAGTGTCATGTCATCAAAAAGCAAGTCAAAAGGTTCAACCCATACCATGCAAACCCAGCCAGCTAAATTCATTTGCCACAAATCATAACTTGCTTGATCCTTTTTATTCCCAAAGAAGAACGCATTTTTGAAAATAAAAATTTGGCGCAACCTTCGAAATCCTTATGAGATTTTGTATCATGTGTTTTGGACTATGATCCCAAGCTTGGGAAAGCACTGGTGTCCTCCGTGTTGATGGATGCAGATGGTCCGGAACCACCTCGTGGACCACCACGCGATCCCCGAAAGTTACCATCACCGCGTCCGCGGCCACCGCGATCACCACGGCCTCGGAATCCCTCACCACGACCTCCTCGGGATGGTCCATCGCCACGGCCACGGCCACCACGGAATCCTCCACGGCCACCACTGCGCTCAGGGGCTTCTACAAAGCGTTGATCAATGTCAATGACTTGTTTCTGTTTGCGCTCACGTTCACGCTTAGCTTTTCCAGCTGATGCAGCAACGAAGTCCTCCTCATCTTCCTTGGAGAGCTCCTTGGCGGTTTGCCACTTCTTGTTCTGCTTGCTGCCCTCATTTGGCTTACGGGCCTCTGGGACTCCAGTGCCAAGAGCAAGCTTCTTCTCAGCAAGCTCGGCAAGATACTCTTCATAAGACTTGCTGTTGTCTTCTGGCTCAGGCTCAGCGACCTCAGCATCGGCAGCTCCTTCAGCGTCTTTTGCCTCGGCTTTGGCGAGAGCTTCACCAGCTTCCTCATCCTTTAGCTCGGCTTGGCCTTCAGTGGCACCCCATCCGTGAGCAGCTTGCTTCTCAGAGTCGCTATTCAAGATTAGAAATTTTCCTGGAATCTGGGTAAAAAACACTGCTTACCCTCCAACAGTTCGGCTGTGTCGGTCAAAGTTGCGAGGTCCCCCACGGCCTCGTCCTCCATAGGTGTTTGGGGCACGGTCGCCTCTTGCGGGTCGGGCCTCATCAGTGGGCTTGCTTCGGTTGTTCGCGCTACCGGCATTGCGATCACGGAACGCTGACAAAGAAGATGTCAGTGGGGTATTCGATGGTATTATGGTAATTGAGTGTATCGCGCATCTTGTTGGATGAACGCGACTTAGTAAATCAGACTCACCTCCTTCGTTGCCGTTGAAGGCACCCCGACGAGGAGCTCGGTTCTCATATCCAGCAGTCTTGGAAGCTGGTGCCTCTCCGCCAGCATTGCGCTTGGTGGTGCGGGCAGGAGTCTTGTCAATGACCTTTACAGGTGGCTCCGGTTCCTTATCAGAGTCTTCATCGTGAGTATTGCCTAGTGATCAATTGCTGTCAGTCGCGCGATGGTGGAGGAAAATTTCATCGGAATTCATTTCGTCATACCGAGAAGCTCGTACGCGTTCTGGAGGGCACAAAGTCAGCGATGGTACGATAAATATTGGTTGGAAGCGCCTCCGCAGATGGGCGACAACATCATCGAGTCCGAGGTCGAAGTCGAGTCGAGATCGAGGGCGAGGGAGTTCTGCAGACTGCACTTACTTTCGAAACGACCGACATCTTGTCCACACCAGCTCAAGCGCCTCCTAAGAAGGCCTTGCTATCGAGAGAACAATTCGAAGGGAGGAGTAGCGACAATCGAGACGGACAGGTTCCCGATGGCGAGGAATCTGTCTCCCGAGAAAATTGGTTGATGGTTGAGGAGGGGAATGGTTGATGCTGGACAAGTGCGCTTCGCGAGGGCCGCCAACTATATTTTCCCCCAGGCTAGTGGCCCACAAAGTTCGATTTTCAATAAATTCTGACGCACGTCACGTGAAAACTTCCAATTCACCTTCACTGCAACGACTACGACACCACATATATGGGATGAAGGAGTCATATAAACTGACAGACGAACGTGTTATTACACAGGTAGTTATAAAGACCATCATATAAAACGATTGTAGTCCTGGTATAGCATCAAAAGCAGTTTCAGCAAGTACCAGGAAATTGGAATATTCGAAATATTCAAAAGTTGCATTTGTGGGAATCAGAAAAGAATACTCATTGTGACCTTGAATTTTGAGGTTCCAATCAGTTCATACTAGAAAATATCCCAGAGATTTTTAGAGAATGCTCAAGTAAAGCGCTAGGAGTTATTAATTTTTTTCTGGATGATTTGTTGAAAACATGAAGGGGCATCATCAGGGGCTTTGCCGAGAAAAGCATTAACCCTTGATAATCCCACAGAAAACGGATAGGGAGTGCATTCACTAACAACAATTAATTATGGAGTCAATGAAGGAGTTTGGATATTTTCTTAAAAAAGTAATGTTCTTAGTATTCACCTCTACAAGTATTCCATATGCTGAAAACCAATGACAGTTCTGACTCATTAAACATGTTGGCATTTGTTCCTTTCCAAACAAGGATCAAGACCAAAAGCAAAATTCGCAGAAATATATCATGCCTGAATCCAATTCCAGCCCGTTCATACATAAACAATTACGTAAAAGGCCTCTTGAGATGGTACAGTCTTATATTTCATGAAAAAGATTATACGTGGGTATCGTCCATCTGCTTGTGTGTGACTTCAATCCTTTCCGTAATGCCACAACATCGTAAATCATTGTACAATATTTTGTTGAAGATTAAATCGTAGCCAACAGCCCTTTGCTTTGAAGGGATGCTAAAAAAAATACATGCTTTTGAGCTTTTATGTCCTCCTGATATGCAACCCTGGAGAGGTAAGCTAAGTCATGTGGAGAAAGTTGAGTACATACCATTTTTCCCAACCAAAAATGCAAAATCCCATGGAAACGCCCCACATTCTGTCGTCCATATGCCTTGTGCTATTCGGGTATCTGTTTTGCTTTTATCTCATCGAGCTCGTGTCAAAGGAAAAAGAAGATGGAAATTGCATCGAAGCCGAGAGTCCGAATGGGTCCAAGTCGAGCATGGGATCGTAGGGATCGAGCATTTGCGTCATCGAGCCGAAGTTTTGAGCTCCAGCGCCCATGTTGATGGGCTGTCCGGCAATGCCAGGTTGTTGCGGGATTTGCTGTTGATTGGGATGTTGCGGTTGAGGGATCGGTTCGGGGTAGGGGCCGGGGCCAGATTCGGCTGGCTCGTCTTCGATTATGTCGGCTTGCGACTCGTACTCCTGTTCTGTACTCACGGAATCAATCTAGGACGAACATAGCTCTATAAAATGAAAATGACAATAGGGGGCGGGTCAGCTTGCCGAGTTGCTCATAATGATTCTGGAAGTTGGGGGACGCAAAATACGCGGCAGCTGCCGGAGTGCCTCCCGTATGCGTCCCACCTCCTCTTGGTCCCTTTGGTGCCAGAGGGGCATCAACTCCTTGGTTTCCTAATAATCCGCCGTGTCCTGGTAGTCCCTGGTTCCCTTGATTAATTGGTTGTTTAGCCGCCTGGGGTGCTTGAAGTCTTTGTTGTTGGTGGTGCTGTTGCTGGTGGAATTGCATTTGAGAATCTGAGCCAGGAGGAGTCATAACTCCTGGATTGTGAAATCCTGGGGAAATGGCAGTTGGTGATGAGGCATGGGAAGATGGGGTTGGCCTTGATTGTGGAGACTGAAGCGGAGCTCCTGGTTCGAGTTTTGGCGCAATGCTAGATTGTGAACGCCGTGCTTGGTGGTGTCTGTTCATGATAGCTCTTTGAACAGTAGGTGCTTGTGCCATGTTTTGTGGCATATGTGTTGGCCCAAGATGAGGGCTTCCTGTCTTGGCTCGCAGCTCGGCCTGAACATCAATTCCTGAAAACCTGTTAGTAAAAGTTCGCAGCGAAGGCTGTTCAAAGTCAATTTCATTACCCTTTTCCAGCAAAATTCGTTCTAGTAAAGAGTTTTTGTATCTCAACATCAAACATTCATCAGCAGCACTACGGTGGGCTGTTTGAAGGTTATGGAGATTGGTCTCATGGACTCGGATGGTCTCTTCTAGCTGTTTGATGTACTCTGTCCGACGCTCCCTAAAAGCCGCCTGTGCTTGACGGTTGCGTTGTTTACGTTCCTCGGAAGTAGCATAAATCTGTCACACATATCAGTACACCGGAACACATCTGGCGGGGCCATGCAACAATATCATACAGGTTTGCGGCCGCCTTTCCTCTTTTGCTGCCCAACATTTTCCTGAGGAGCTCCTGTCTCAGCCTCTGGAGTGGGAGAGTTGAGCTCCATCGAATCCTCGGAGCCTTCCCTCGTCGGTTCTTTCTTGTCAATAGACATATCATCTGCCATGGCTTTAACTTTCGAGGTTCTTCTTGTTAAAGCAACGGCCCCACAATCAACCCCAACATCAGATTGCAAGAAACGATACCGGGAGACGCTATGAACCTATCCACGGTCTCAATGACATGCAGAGGCACGAACAAGAGTTCGTCTGGAGGGTGGCTTCAATGCGATTGTGGCGAGTACATCCGTTATCAGATCAAATGGAGCTTTCCCGGCTGTTTCTGCTGCAGACCCGGGAAACTGGAACCTGGGATCTGACGTAGGTACAGTGCTGGGGGATTGATAACGGGTAGGGACCGTAGGGTCGAGGCTGAGGGTATAAAGATAGGGCAAGTAAGTAATAAGGTAGGTGGATGGAACTGATATGGTAATGAAATCCAGAAGGAATTGGTCATGGAAACTGGACGGTAGGTGTGACCTACTATTTGACTTTCTGCCAGCCTCTGCAGCGAGAACGGATCAGGGCCCGTGGCAGAGAGTGCCCGTCGTTCTGTGGACCCGGCGCGCCGTGGAGGAACGTCGGATTCGGCTCAAACCACACTTGACCACAAGGGGCAAGAAAAGAGGCCTCCGTGGACCTCACGAGGAGCTTTTCAGGTCAGGGAGGGGATTCCCTCAATTTTGGCAAGAGGGGCACTTCCCGGAGGCTGACAGGCGTGGACAGGTTGGTTCCACGGGGGTGGTCCACAGGTGGTGTGAAGGGACGCCGGCCATTGGCCTCTCCACAAAATGCACTGAGTGCACTCGGCTGCATGGGCTTCGAAAGCTTCCACAGCCCTTCGATGACCCACGGACCGACCGCGCTAGGGAGTGTAGGGGAAGGTTGCCGACGGGGATGGGGAGCGGTTGGGAGGGGGCTCCTGGCGTGGAATGAGGATCGCTCAAGGAAGAGTTTTTCATGGCTGCATGTCACCAGAGCTTCTGTGCCAGTGCCACCGACACGATTCGCTGGCTGGCTGGCTGGACGTCTGCCCGCTCTGGACTGACTTCGGTAGGCGAGCGAGGGCTGGAAGCGAGAAAATGTGAATTGGCCAGTGGAATGAGCCTACTCGAGTAGTGGTCTTGGGGGATTGGGGATGGAGGAGATGGAGTGGTGGTCATATTCTGGCCGTGGCCGTGGCCGTGGCCGTGGCATGGGCAGGCCGTTGTGCTGAGAATGTGATATGTTATGGAGACGAACGGGTGATGGGCAACGACGCACACACAGAGCAGCAACCTGTGTTCCCATCCATGGGACAAAAATCTACGAGCTCGCAGGGGGACACAGCAAGAGAAAGAGGGGAACGGCACAGACTTGAGGCTGGAGAAGTAAGAGAGCGTGGCAGAAGGCATGAGGATGGCTCATACTCGCGATCCAGCACCAGCGACTTCATCGTCCGCGGAGAAGGTCCAAACCTTCCCAGCCAAACCATGCCATTGCGCACAAGCGACTCGTCTAGCCTGGAAAAAGTGGGCGCCATTGCTAAAAGAATTAGATGCCAATGCCCTCGCGCTAGAAATCGGAGAAATCGCATCATAAACATGAACTTGTTTCTTCGTAACCTCATTTTCTCTTTCCTCCTGCAAGCCATGTCGTCAAGATGTCGTCGATCTGATTCGAGCAGCCTGCATACATATGCACCACCGCTAGGCAGTGCTTACAGGTCTGCCACGGCCATTTCCGAGGAGAGCAATGTCACCTGTCGTCCGGGATATTTATACATAAGGCAGGCACTCTTGAAGAAACACGAAATACCATACAGGCTCGAGTGCTATTGAACAGGCTCAGGAGCAAGTCGCAAACTTCCGGCCACGCCACAGACGGGAAGGAGAACATGGAGGGGATGAAAGGGCTACATACGGCATTTTCCAAGGGTCCTTCACAGATCTTGGCCACAGAATAATCCATTCAAACACGTCCTCAAGTACGGTACTCGAGTAGCTGCCAATGTTTCCGCATGTGGAGAGCTGATGATCATTTCTTGGGGATCAGATCCTCTAAACAAACTTCCAAATAGCTGGATCCTGGAAACGACACTTGCTCATCTATCCGAGTACCAAAGTATTGTGCAACCTCATTCGTAGGTCCTGGAGTGGCAAAGAAGAGTATCAGAATACCACCCAACCGGATCCTTCGTTATACTTTGAGATTTAAAGAGAGGTCGCCTTTTTTTTTCACTCGGTATTTGTTTCTGTTGGAACCTTGTGGTCGGCATCCACGTTCCTTGGATTACCTAGTTCCAAGCAGAAGAAAAAAAAGTTTGATGACATAATCATGCCATGATAACTTACTAGAAGAAAAATATAGAAAAAAATAGAAGAAAAAAGAAGAAGAAGAAAGACAAATACAAACGTAAACGAAAGCATGTCCCAACGACACGAGTACCGGTATATCTAGCTATACACGTAGCTGAGGTAAAAACAATTACACTCGTATTTTACCTACCCAAAGCTTAAACTCATTTACAGCTCTACCTCGAATCTTCATTGCAAATCGTAACGCGGCATGACCTCGTCTCGTACTGCCCATCCAGGTACCTACCAAGCCAAGTACGGAGTACTCTTTTCTCTCGGAACACTTTCGGTAAGCTAGGTACGTAATTGGCTAGCTCTTAGTTTTCAACGGACACTTTTTAACACCTTGTTTCTGAGGCACATCTGGGAGGCAGATATTGTGTACTTGGCCTAAGCGAACATGTGATTTTAATTTTTATCAGGTCCACGTGTTGGGGTTGTATTTAGATTGCTTGGGTTGAATTGGGATTGTGAGTTCCGAGGAGAGATATAGGTATAGTAAATATTCAAGTACATGTAAATATGTATTTTCAGGAGGAGGCCTAGTATTATATCAGGGCTTCTGGCCCTTCTTCGCTTGTGAGTTTTACTGTGCCTGCTTACTAATTTTAATGATACTCCGCCAGTGGGTGACAGAATTCGTGGGACAGCACAACTTCTAAATTACGTAATCAAGAACACCAAAAATGCTTAGATATCATACCTTGATAATACATACTCTTTAAACCGTTCAAATGGACACTAACACGCCTACTCACAGTAGAGAGGACACGCCAGATCGTCAAATACACCACCGCGAAGCTACTACTACCAAAAAGACCCGGTTTTACGAGGCCTGGGACGCCCGGCACGGCGCAGAAACACATAAGGCTATTGGGGCAGATTTGGGAGTAACCAGGTCTACGGCATCACGATGGCTCAAAGAGCGTACTCAAATAGGGTCTGCAGCATACCGGCGGACGCGGAAGAGGTCAAATATACTTGGGAGGCGTCGTCTTATCTCAAAAGAGAGTTGTTTACTCCTTGTCAACCCAGCCAAAAACCCCGTCCAAAACCAGCACTACGAAGCTCAAATGAAATACCACAAGATCAAGGGTTCCGCCCGCACTCTACAGCGCGCTTTGCTCAGGCATACAAACAAGGCCCGTCGCTATAAGGCTGCGTACGTAAAGAAGAAAACCTCGAATACAAACCGGCAGAAACGGACAGAATACGGGAGGAAGTGGCAGTACAAGACAGTTGAGAACCATTGGCGTAGGGTTCTCTGGACAGACGAGGCACATATTGATCCTACCTCTAACGTTCAAGACTTCTACCTCCGTGAGCAAGGGAAGCGTTATAAGCCCGAATATATACAGGAAAGGGGGGAGAAACGGGGCGTACGGCTACACATCGCAGGGTGGTGTAATTGGCATGCCAAATGCGAGAAACTCCAGTTCTACCACGACGAAGAGGGTGAAGTTATTAAAGCTGGGAAGCCTAGGAAGCCTCGCAAAACCAAGTACTGTACAGACGAGGAATATGCAGAGTTAATACTAAAGTGGGAGGCTGAATGCGAGGCAC